TGTTGATCATTCATCGCTTCTTCGTCTTCTGAGTTCCAGTTTAGTCATCATTGTTGAAAACTTTGCAACACTGTGCGTCACAGAAGACCTGCAGGATTAGTTAATAACAGGGGGGGGGGGGGGGGGGAAGGAGAGGGTAGTGAAGCTAAGGTTCCACCAGGAGAGATCTGTGTAAAATGGCAAGCATGCAGGCACTATGTATGTACACCGAGACTCATCCATGAATATGTCTAACCTACGCTTGAAACAATCCAACGACCAAATTTTTTGTTATGTTACCCGGTAAAGGTGGTGTTCCGCCAATCAACACTCGTCTTTCACAGCCCATCTGAGAAGACTGAGCTCTGCCGTGGCACTGAGCTCTGCCCTGGCACTGAGCTCTGCCCTGGCACTGAGCTCTGCCCTAGCACTGAGCTCTGCCCTGGCACTGAGCTCTGCCCTGGCACTGAGGTCTGCCCTGGCACTGAGCTCTGCCCTGGCACTGAGCTCTGCCCTGGCACTGAGCTCTGCCCTGGCACTGAGCTCTGCCCTGGCACTGAGCTCTGCCCTGGCACTGAGCTCTGCCCTGGCAGTGAGCTCTGCCCTAGCACTGAGGGAGACAAACACGTCTTCAACAGGAAGCAATTTAGTTAACACATGTTGTCCTTCAATGCGCTGTCTCAAGAATCATAGGTGTGGTGTTGCGCTTAAGTTCTCTCTCCACCTCTGAAGGGTTATACCCACTAGCAAATATACTGTTGTCCTGGACATAGACAATTCCTTCATGCCTTGGTGTAGAACTTAATATTAAACTAAATAAAAAAAGTTCAAATTATTTGTATTTTTTTTAATATTTATGTACCTATACATTTCCCCTCTCCCCTCCAAAGGTTCCTTTTTATACAGACATTGTTAATTTTTATTATGGTAATATCCGCTCTATTCCTGACACACATTCCTGAACAATAATGATATTCTGAAGTTAGTGTGGCGTACAAGGTCTAATATTTATAATAAACTCATATATATATATATATATATATATATATATATATATATTTTATTAAATATGACCGAAAAAGTAAGATTAATAATTCTAACACGAATTTTCTCAATCTTTCGTACATTATGCTTCACTGTTGGAGGTAAATCAAAAATCACTTCTCCAAAATTCATTTTTATTTCTAGTCTGACGCGACACGGGCGCGTTTCGTAAAACTTATTACATTTTCAAAGACTTCACAAATACACAACTGATTAGAACTTGCATTTCCCTGATTTTATATCTACTTTTGAGTGAGGTGGGAAGGGTGATGTGGCATTACATTTGAGTGAGGTGGGAAGGATGATGTGGCATTAGAGGATATTAATAGGGTATTAAAAGTATCAACACAAGACAGAACACGAAACAATGAATATTGAATAGAAGTGTTTGTAGAAAGCCTATTGGTCCATATTTCTTGATGCTTCTATATTGGAGCGGAGTCTTGAGGTGGGTAGAATATAGTTGTGCAATAATTGGCTGTTGATTGCTGGTGTTGACTTCTTGATGTGTAGTGCCTCGCAAACGTCAAGCCGCCTGCTATCGCTGTATCTATCGATGATTTCTGTGTTGTTTACTAGGATTTCTCTGGCGATGGTTTGGTTATGGGAAGAGATTATATGTTCCTTAATGGAGCCCTGTTGTTTATGCATCGTTAAACGCCTAGAAAGAGATGTTGTTGTCTTGCCTATATACTGGGTTTTTTGGAGCTTACAGTCCCCAAGTGGGCATTTGAAGGCATAGACGACGTTAGTCTCTTTTAAAGCGTTCTGTTTCGTGTCTGGAGAGTTTCTCATGAGTAGGCTGGCCGTTTTTCTGGTTTTATAGTAAATCGTCAGTTGTATCCTCTGATTTTTGTCTGTAGGGATAACGTTTCTATTAACAATATCTTTCAGGACCCTTTCCTCTGTTTTATGAGCTGTGGAAAAGAAGTTCCTGTAAAATAGTCTAATAGGGGGTATAGGTGTTGTGTTAGTTGTCTCTTCGGAGGTTGCATGGCTTTTCACTTTCCTTCTTATGATATCTTCGATGAAACCCTACCCTTCCCTACAGACAAAAATCAGAGGATACAACTGACGATTTACTATAAAACCAGAAAAACGGCCAGCCTACTCATGAGAAACTCTCCAGACACGAAACAGAACGCTTTAAAAGAGACTAACGTCGTCTATGCCTTCAAATGCCCACTTGGGGACTGTAAGCTCCAAAAAACCCAGTATATAGGCAAGACAACAACATCTCTTTCTAGGCGTTTAACGATGCATAAACAACAGGGCTCCATTAAGGAACATATAATCTCTTCCCATAACCAAACCATCGCCAGAGAAATCCTAGTAAACAACACAGAAATCATCGATAGATACAGCGATAGCAGGCGGCTTGACGTTTGCGAGGCACTACACATCAAGAAGTCAACACCAGCAATCAACAGCCAATTATTGCACAACTATATTCTACCCACCTCAAGACTCCGCTCCAATATAGAAGCATCAAGAAATATGGACCAATAGGCTTTCTACAAACACTTCTATTCAATATCCATTGTTTCGTGTTCTGTCTTGTGTTGATACTTTTAATACCCTATTAATATCCTCTAATGCCACATCATCCTTCCCACCTCACTCAAATGTAATGCCACATCACCCTTCCCACCTCACTCAAAAGTAGATATAAAATCAGGGAAATGCAAGTTCTAATCAGTTGTGTATTTGTGAAGTCTTTGAAAATGTAATAAGTTTTACGAAACGCGCCCGTGTCGCGTCAGACTAGAAATAAAAATGAATTTTGGAGAAGTGATTTTTGATTTACCTCCAACAGTGAAGCATAATGTACGAAAGATTGAGAAAATTCGTGTTAGAATTATTAATCTTACTTTTTCGGTCATATTTAATAAAATATGTCTACAGGAAAGACTGCTACCAAAATATACTAATATATATATATATATATATATATATATATATATATATATATATATATATATATATATATATATATATATATATATATATATATATATATATATATATATATATTAGTATATTTTGGTAGCAGTCTTTCCTGTAGACATATATTATTAAATATGACCGAAAAAGTAAGATTAATAATTCTAACACGAATTTTCTCAATCTTTCGTACATTACGCTTCACTGTTGGAGGTAAATCAAAAATCACTTCTCCAAAATTCATTTTTATTTCTAGTCTGACGCGACACGGGCGCGTTTCGTAAAACTTATTACATTTTCAAAGACTTCACAAATACACAACTGATTAGAACGTATCTCTGATTTTATATCTACATTTGAGTGAGGTGGGAAGGGTGATGTGGCATTAACACAAGACAGAACAGGAGGGGATATTAATAGGGTATTAAAAGTATCAACACAAGACAGAACAGAAACAATGGGTATTGAATAGAAGTGTTTGTAGAAAGCCTATTGGTCCATATTTCTTGATGCTTCTATATTGGAGCGGAGTCTTGAGGTGGGTAGAATATAGTTGTGCAATAATTGGCTGTTGATTGCTGGTGTTGACTTCTTGATGTGTAGTGCCTCGCAAACGTCAAGCCGCCTGCTATCGCTGTATCTATCGATGATTTCTGTGTTGTTTACTAGGATTTCTCTGGCGATGGTTTGGTTATGGGAAGAGATTATATGTTCCTTAATGGAGCCCTGTTGCTTATGCATCGTTAAACGCCTAGAAAGAGATGTTGTTGTCTTGCCTATATACTGGGTTTTTTGGAGCTTACAGTCCCCAAGTGGGCATTTGAAGGCATAGACGACATTAGTCTCTTTTAAAGCGTTCTGTTTTGTGTCTGGAGAGTTTCTCATGAGTAGGCTGGCCGTTTTTCTGGTTTTATAGTAAATCTATTTGGAGAATTTTGGAGAAGTGATTTTTGATTTACCTCCAACAGTGAAGCGTAATGTACGAAAGATTGAGAAAATTCGTGTTAGAATTATTAATCTTACTTTTTCGGTCATATTTAATAATATATATATATATATATATATATATATATATATATATATATATATATATATATATATATATATATATATATATATATATATATATATATAGGGGGGTACCACATCTGGTTGCTTGTAGGGACCCTCAAGCCTCGAAGAAGAGGATCTGCAGCACCCCGGGGAAGCCTTGTTGGTTCTCCCCCGTGTACTGGCACATATTGTCTTCTCCTACCACCCCCTTATATATGTATGTGTTTATTATATGTGTATTGTTTATTACACACACACCCACCACCCACGTACTGACGCCACCTGCCACGTACTGACGCCACCTGCCACGTACTGACGCCACCTGCCACGTACTGACGCCACCTGCCACGTACTGACGCCACCTGCTACGTACTGACGCCACCTGCCACGTACTGACGCCACCTGCTACGTACTGACGCCACCTGCCACGTACTGACGCCACCTGCCACGTACTGACGCCACCTGCCACGTACTGACGCCACCTGCCACAAACTGACGCCACCTGCTACGTACTGACGCCACCTCCCACGTACTGACGCCACCTGCCACGTACTGACGCCACCTGCCACGTACTGACGCCACCTCCCACGTACTGACGCCACCTGCCACGTACTGACGCCACCTCCCACGTACTGACGCCACCTGCCACATACTGACGCCACCTCCCACGTACTGACGCCACCTGCCACGTACTGACGCCACCTGCCACGTACTGACGCCACCTGCCACGTACTGACGCCACCTGCCACATACTGACGCCACCTCCCACGTACTGACGCCACCTGCCACGTACTGACGCCACCTCCCACGTACTGACGCCACCTCCCACGTACTGACGCCACCTGCCACGTACTGACGCCACCTGCCACGTACTGACGCCACCTGCCACGTACTGACGCCACCTGCCACGTACTGACGCCACCTGCCACATACTGACGCCACCTGCCACGTACTGACGCCACCTGCCACATACTGACGCCACCTCCCACGTTCTCCTACAGTACCGAGTGCGAGCATCATGAACGGCGCGGAGATACACGTGCACAGAGGCTCACTCATCAACCTAACGTGTGTGGTGGAGCACACGACGGAACGACCGCTCTACATCGTCTGGTACCACTACAACAAGGTACGTACCTACGGTAACCCCTACAGGACTCTAACTCCTGTTAGAGTCCTAACAGGAGTTAGGACTCCTAACTCCTGTAGGAGTTAGGAGTCCCTCCTCTACAGGACTCTAACTCCTGTAGACCAAACCACACACTAGAAAGTGAAGGGACGACGACGACGTTTCGGTCAGTCCTGGACAATTAGTCGATTGTCGACTTGAGAATGGTCCAGGACGGACCGAAACGTCGTCGTCCCTTCACTTTCTAGTGTGTGGTTTAGTCAATATATTTTAGCCACGTTATTGTGACTCCTCGTCTGCTTACTCCTGTAAGTTACAGTATATATATCTTCCGCAAGGTATATATGCTCTCATATTCTCATATATACTTACTCTCACTACAGTAAGGTTTGGTAGTGATACAGCTGGATAATAACCCATAGTGTATGCAGTGCAACCCGCTCTCGCACAAGACAGCACATATATGACTTACTGCTTATAGTCACTATTTCGCTTATAAATAAGTACATATGTGACAAATTCCAAGCCATATTTTTTTCAAGGCACTAACTTTTCCACTCAATTTTATTAAACAATAGCGCGCAGTAGCACAACAACAAAATACATTACAGTGATACGAGGTACAATGCCGCTCTATCGAGGTACAGTGCCGCAGCAGCAATAGGTCGCTGTATCAAGGTACAGTGCCGTAGTAGCTAGATATAAGAATCCCAGCGCCCAAACCATCCTCGGTGCTTGTCCAAACTGCCCCCAACCCCTAGGATGTATTTATAAAATTTTACCTGAATTTACCTGAGGGGCCACTATCTCCCTCTCTGTAGTGGCCTCGACGGGGACAGGAAGCCTCCTGCTTGTCAATGTATTATTAGAATTTAGTTAGGTATTTAGGTTGTGTTGATAATGAGTGGTATTCACCAACCCGTCCTCGACTCAAGTCCATTACATCCAGCGGTCGACCCCACAGACGCATTCATAAATTTTAACATGCTGTTCATTCAAAACGGGAATTTTCTCAAGTATAAATTAATATTATAATATATTGGCATATTGTGTATATATAGGCATAGGATAGGTTAGGTTAGGTTAGGTTAGGTTAGGTTAGGTTAGGTGTTTAGGTTCTGTTGGCGATTATTTGTATTTGTAGTACGTGGGTGAAGCATTTATAGCGTTGTGATTCGAACAAAATTCGTCAGTGAAGCACTTGTTCCGGATATGTTCGAACGTCAGCAGTTGTGAGTCGTGTGTAAACCGCTTTTCATTCATAAACAGGGGGTTTGGCGGGTGCATGGAATCACTTTTGGATCTTTGTTTGGAGGACGGGCTGTTCATGAAGTTGTGATTCGAACAGAGGTCGTGTGTCAGCCCGTCCTCCAAACAAAGATCCAAAAGTGATTCCATGCACCCGCCAAACCAGCTGTTTATGAATGAAAAGCGGTTTACACACGACTCACAACTGCTGACGTTCGAACATATCCGGAACAAGTGCTTCACTGACGAATTTTGTTCGAATCACAACACTATCAAAGCTTCACCCACGTACTACAAATACAAATAATCACCAACAGAACCTAAACACCTAACCTAACCTATCCTATGATTATATATACGCAATATGCTAATATTTTATAATGTTAATTTAGATTTGAGAAAATTCCAGTTTTGAATGAAGAGCATGTAAAAGTTTATGAATGCGTCTGTGGGGTCGACCGCTGGATGTAATGGACTTGATTCGAGGACGGGTTGCGTGAACGAAGTACTTCCACTCGGGAACAGTTCGAACGTCGTCAACTTCGCTTCGCTAACGACTTCTGTTCGAATCACAACGCTGTAAAGGCTTCACCCTCGTACTGCAACTATCAATCGTGGCCGGGACCAGATTCACGAAGCAGTTACGCAAGTATTTACGAACGTGTACATCTTTTCTCAATCTTTGGCGGCTTTGTTTACATTTATTAAACAGTTTACAAGCATGAAAACTTCCCAATCAACTGTTGTTATTGCTATAAACAGCCTCCTGATGATTCAGAGCTCATTAACTGTCTAATAATTGTAAACAAAGCCGTCAAAGATTGAGAAAAGATGTACACGTTCGTAAGTACTTGCGTAACTGCTTCGTGAATCTGCCACCTGAAGACGGGCCAGTATGTGTACAGTAATTCATTTTGAAAAGTGAAGGAACCACTTCGTTACCGGTATTTTCACCATGATTAACGAGTGAATTAACGCATAACCGAGACGTTAGTGAAGCGCTCGACTAATACGTCTTGATTCATTAATGGAAATTCGGCGTCCCGATTATTTTAATTCCCGTGTCGCTGGAATGGTGAGTAAATATGTCCCACATATTTCAGCCATGGTCGGAGATGGGTCACTGTGTCTGTGGGCCAGTGTTGTGGTGGGTCACTGTGGGCCAGTGTTGTGGTGGGTCACTGTGGACCAGTGTTGTGGTGGGTCACTGTGGACCAGTGTTGTGGTGGGTCACTGTGGACCAGTGTTGTGGTGGGTCACTGTGTCTGTGGACCAGTGTTGTGGTGGGTCACTGTGTCTGTGGACCAGTGTTGCGGTGGGTCACTGTGGACCAGTGTTGTGGTGGGTCACTGTGGACCAGTGTTGTGGTGGGTCACTGTGGACCAGTGTTGTGGTGGGTCACTGTGGACCAGTGTTGTGGTGGATCACTGTGGACCAGTGTTGCGGTGGGTCACTGTGGACCAGTGTTGCGGTGGGTCACTGTGTCTGTGGACCAGTGTTGTGGTGGGTCACTGTGTCTGTGGACCAGTGTTGCGGTGGGTCACTGTGGACCAGTGTTGTGGTGGGTCACTGTGGGCCAGTGTTGTGGTGGGTCACTGTGGACCAGTGTTGTGGTGGATCACTGTGGACCAGTGTTGCGGTGGGTCACTGTGGACCAGTGTTGCGGTGGGTCTCTGTGTCTGTGGACCAGTGTTGTGGTGGGTCACTGTGTCTGTGGACCAGTGTTGCGGTGGGTCACTGTGGACCAGTGTTGTGGTGGGTCACTGTGGACCAGTGTTGTGGTGGGTCACTGTGGACCAGTGTTGTGGTGGGTCACTGTGGACCAGTGTTGCGGTGGGTCACTGTGGACCAGTGTTGTGGTGGGTCACTGTGGACCAGTGTTGTGGTGGGTCACTGTGGACCAGTGTTGTGGTGGGTCACTGTGAACCAGTGTTGTGGTGGGTCACTGTGGACCAGTGTTGTGGTGGGTCACTGTGGACCAGTGTTGTGGTGGGTCACTGTGGACCAGTGTTGTGGTGGGTCACTGTGGACCAGTGTTGTGGTGGGTCACTGTGGACCAGTGTTGTGGTGGGTCACTGTGGACCAGTGTTGTGGTGGGTCACTGTGGACCAGTGTTGTGGTGGGTCACTGTGGTCCAGTGTTGTGGTGGGTCACTGTGTCTGTGGTCCATTGTATTCTCACAATATCGTCCCCCATTTTCTATACCCTATTTCAGGTATACTCATCCTTTATAACATCTATACTCAAAGCTGAATTCACCGCCTCTACCCAGATACATTTTTTCCCCTCTTCTTGACCCATTTTTTCCCCGCCCCATTTCCCTTCCTGACAACCTCCTTCCCTTCTCTTCTCCTTGAGAAGGAATCGGATCGTCTTGCCGGAAATTTGAGATAATTGCATTCCCCATTTTCAAGCGAGGAGCCACTTGATGCGCATGGGGGGAGCGCGCGCACACACACACACACACACACACATACACACTTCGTGTGTGTGTGTGTGTGTGTGTGTGGGACGTGTGTGTGGGACTTGATAGTGGTCCAGGACGGACCGAAACGTCGTCGTCTCCTCATCTTCCGGTGTGTGTGTGTGTGCACTTACCTAGTTGTACTTACCTAGTTGTGCTTACGGGGGTTGAGCTTTGGCTCTTTGGTCCCGCCTCTCAACTGTCAATCAACTAATGTACAGATTCCTTAACCTACTGGGCTCAATCATGTCTACACTTGAAGCTGTGTATGGAGTCAGCCTCCACCGCACTCTGACACTAAAAAAGTTCCTTCTAACGTCCCTGTGGCTCATGTGGGTACTCAGTTTCCACCTGTAGAAACTGATGTGTGTACTCACCTATTTGTACTCACCTATTTGTGCTTGCAGGATCGAGCATTGACTCTTGGATCCCGCCTTTCCAGCTATCGGTTGTTTACAGCAATGACTCCTGTCCCATTTCCCTATCATACCTAGTTTTAAAAGTATGAATAGTATTTGCTTCCACAACCTGTTCCCCAAGTGCATTCCATTTTTCCACTACTCTCACGCTAAAAGAAAACTTCCTAACATCTCTGTGACTCATCTGAGTTTCCAGTTTCCACCCATGTCCCCTCGTTCTGTTATTATTACGTGTGAACATTTCATCTATTCCCACTTTGTCAATTCCCCTGAGTATTTTATATGTCCCTATCATATCTCCTCTCTCCCTTCTTTTCTCTAGTGTCGTAAGGTTCAGTTCCTTCAGACGCTCTTCATATCCCATCCCTCGTAACTCTGGGACAAGCCTCGTCGCAAACCTCTGAACCTTCTCCAGTTTCTTTATGTGTTTCTTCAGGTCGGAGCTCCATGATGGCGCGGCATACTCTAAGACGGGTCTCACGTAGGCAGTGTAAAGCGCCCTAAAAGCCTCCTCATTTAGGTTTCTGAATGAAGTTCTAATTTTCGCCAGTGTAGAGTACGCTGCTGTCGCTATCCTATTTATATGTGCCTCAGGAGTTAGATTAGGTGTCACATCCACTCCAAGGTCTCTTTCTCGAATCGTTACAGGTAGGCTGTTCCCCTTCATTGTGTACTGTCCCTTTGGTCTCCTGTCACCTGATCCCATTTCCATAACTTTACATTTACTGGTGTTAAACTCCAGTAGCCATTTCCCTGACCATCTCTGCAACCTGTTCAAGTCCTCTTGGAGGATCTTACAATCCTCGTCTGTCACAACTCTTCTCATTAATTTTGCGTCATCCGCAAACATTGACATGTATGATTCCACT